CTCAGAGGAGCATTTGTGAGACAGACTCTGGACTTACAAACACTGAAACAGCTGCTCTCCCAGCCTCTTGTCTCCCGTGCGGCTGCAGTCGCTGTGCTGGAACTCTCTGCCAAGGAGGGTGGACTGTTGTCACCAGAAAGGTGGTTCATTATAGATCTTGACCCCTCCTTCGTTCTCCCTCCCTTACAACATGCACATCCCTCTCTTCTCCTGGCATTACTGCTGGCAGAGTTCAGACTTCATTTCTCTCATTCAAAAGCATTCCTCCCATTTGTGAATTATTCCCTGACTCTTCGATAGGGCAGTGTTACAGGTCCTCTGCCGGCAGAAGGGAGCAGTCTGACAAAACCTGAAGCCCTAAGACTTTCAGAAGCTGTGACGAGCAGACTAGGAGGAAGCCACGACATTGTGAGCTGAATGGATGTCTTAATAAGCTTTCAGATGTGATTTGGCCAGAGTTGGCACAGAGAGCTCGAGGGAAAAAGGCAAGTAAATGATTGCAGACCCACTGGGCGTGACAACCCTAGGAAGCTAATCATGTCTCCAGGAAATAATTGACAGCAATTACCCAGCAACAGAACACCATGTAGAATGGGGAGGACAGACCCCCGGATGTGAGTACGATCTCTCTTCACTACAGAGTTTTAAGCAGTGGGAGCAAAGCGAATTATTGTAACTGATGGTGCTCCCTTAACCACTGATTCTGGGTGCTTGTGGACTGTCTCTGGGTGGGGTATGCATATGCCTGGCTGGGACTTCTGTTTGCAGGTCTCTTCTAAAATATGTTGCCTGTCAGGAAACTGAATGTAGTAGTTTGGGGATATTGGTACCGGGAGACTTCCTTGTAAATCCTCAAGAAAGCAGCAAAAGCAAACCTCATAGACCTTTTGCTATAAAAATAAAACAGATCGCATCATAGACCAAGCAGCTGTGTGGCCCTCTAGCATTTGTGATGAGAGAAAAAAAGCATTTGCAAATTGGAATGCAGTGAAAATGGGGCGGTGGGCTAGGACAAAGCAGGGAAATCTTTCTTAGAAGCTAAATACCTTTCTGGATTCAGGATGCTCATTGCATATTCATGATCATGGATTTATTTCATTTCTGCTTAAAGAGCTGGCAGTATGTTTGCATTTAATGTTTTTCTCCAGAATGCTGTGAAAGTGAGCATTGTGACAAAGAAGGATGTGATTGATAGATATAGGGCAGAAGAAATTCCTCACCGCCAACAGTGGGAAGTGTCTTGAATGATAGCTAATCTACTTGGAAGAGGAGGCTCAGATTGAATGAGGGAATGGGGCTGCTACAGCCGAGGTACCCAACAGGTTGGCAGTGAAGTTTAACTCGTTGATTGCAGACTAGTTGCTAGGTCTCTATTCCTCAACCCTCCCCACTCATTGGTGAAGGTCCTCTATCCTCCTTATTCCTCTCCCTCAACCTGCCTCTGCCTTCCTGATTTATCAGTTCAGAGGTGTCAGATGAGAAACCCCTTCCTCCAAAAGGATGGAGGTACAGAGAGGAAACAGAAAAGAAGACTCAGCCACTTTGATTCTTTCCCACCCATCCTGTGTGTATATGCAACTGTAGGTGAATACTGGGCATCCTACCAGTGACGCTATTACTGGATTTCAATTGAGAATGAACTTGAGATGCCCAAGCACATAGGGATGATACTAACCACAGACTAGAAACTGGAAACCTGGGATTCTGTTCCTGACTTTGCAGGCAGTTTTCTATGCAATTCTAGTTGGGGGTGGGGGGATGGTGGGAGCGGTATCCAAAATTCTGTGAGCAACAAATCCCTGTGCCTCAGGCAGGCTGTGTATTGGCCATGGTGGAGGGGGTGGGATAGGGTGGGGAGTGGGGAGCATTTCATTCTTAAGTAGTTGTAACTGAAGAAAAAAAAAAGTCTGGACAATATTTCTCAACTGTAGTGTTTTTTTCTGTCTTAAAACAAAGTGAATAGTAGTGTGTGCTAGACTTATAAAGGGCTGTTTACCAAAGGTAGTTATATAAACGAGGCTATCTCAGTAGCTTGCAACCATGGCAGTGGGTGGGTGAGAGCTGAATTTATTGTCTGGGACCGGAGGGGAGTGGCTGTCCATGTACTACAGGCCTGCTGACCCCTGCATCTGTTGCTGGGGAGACTGGCCAGTGCTGCTGGACTGGAGCTCGTGACCTCAGCTGGTAGGCTGCACTAGTTTGCAGCAAGGATGTCTCTATCTCCAGGAGCTAAGCTCTGAAGTAAAATGAGTGAAATTTTAATAGTATTTGTATGAATTGGGCCATTGTATTGAGACGTTCAGATGCTCACTGCAAGGAAAGTTTGGATACAGGGGAAGGTGGCAGTTCAGGCTGAGCGTGCAAAGACAACAAATGAGTAAATGAACAATGTGGTTGTGGAGGGAGAGCAGTTTGGAAGTCACGGCTAATACTGTAGCTTCCTGCCATTTGTGCCTGGAGTGTTCTTGCAATATTGGGACAAACCCAGTATTGGGAAGCTCAGTATAATTGGTTTACAGATACCACAGATTACCTGAATAAAGAGAGAATGTATCCAGCGTTTCCAAAAACAACTTCTACACTGTAGAAAGGTCTGGGAAACATAAAGCCTAAACTAGTCTTTCAGTGGGACCCTGGGAATTTCCAGTGGATTTTCCAGCTCTGTTTCTCTGTTTTGAGTTTCAGCTTGATTCTTTCATTGGCTCATTCATTCAGCCGAGATTCCTCATGCATCCCAGGGGTCTCTGACCATGGTTAAGAGAGGAGTCCTCTCTTTGGAGCATACCTTCTCCGGCTCTGTTCCAGTGAGCAGAGCAGGTGGATTTGTGGAGGTTCTTTCTTTCCTTGCTATTCTTTAACCACATTTTGGGCAACATACAGATGAAGTGAGAAAAGTTGATGATTAACAAGTTGGGGCAGGAGGGATAATAATTACCTTTTTGAAGTTATTCACATTTTGGCCAATACTTTCACATAGTAAACAGCCATCTTTAATCCCACCATGGTCCTCTTTGTGTGTGTGTGTGTGTGTGTGTGTGTGTGTGTGTGTGTGTGTCTGTTTTATGTGTGATCATTTAACCCCAGCCTCTCAGAGCTGTTGGCAAAATGAATTGCCTGGAATGTCATGGTGAACAAGAGTTAGAGCAAGGCACATAGAGTCCAGATCTTTCCTAGTCGTCTCATGGCCAATTCCTTCATCTTACAGGTTGAAAGGAGCATTGGGTTTGCCTGGAAGCAACTGTAAAAGATGTCTGTATCTTCCAGGCCTTCAAAATTAGAATGTGTGGTAGGGTCTGGGATGAAGAGTGCAGTCCTTTTGGCACAGCGTTTTCTTTGTATTTGCATGTATTGGAATATTTTTAAAGTATTTATTTTGAGAGAGAGAGTGCACGAGCAGGAGAGAGGGACAGAGGGAGGGAGGGAGGGAGGGAGAGAGAGAGAGAGAGAGAGAGAGAGAGAGAGAGAGTAAGAGAGAATCCCAAGCAGGCTCCACACTGAGAGTGGAGCCTGATGCAGGGCTTGATCTCAGGACCATAAGATCACAATTTGAGCCTGTATCGAGTCGAGGCTCAACTGACTAAGCTACCCAGGTGCCCCATAGGTATTTTTAATAAGTATGTTTCAAAACACAAAGAAGCTTTCACTTACTTGCTGTCCTAGCAGGAGTGGATTCAATTCTTTTTTTTTTTTTTTAAGTTTATTTATTTTGAGAGAGAGACAGAGCATGCACACACATGGGGGAGGGGCAGAGAGAGAGCGGGAGAGAGAGAATCTGACAGCACAAAGCCAGATGTGAGGCTTGAACTCACAAATCATGAGATCATGACCTGAGTCCAAACTAAGAGTCGGATACTTAATCGACTGAACCACCCAGGCACCCTGAGTGGGTTCAATTCTTGAAAGCATTCCTTCCAAAGAACACTCTACTTTGGATAAATTACCAATGGCTTTCTTTGGTTTGCTCTAATGGTGGCCCAGGGCTCCTGGGAGAAGTCGGTCTTTAAAATTGTGTTCATTTGTCATTTGGTGGAAAGAAGAGTTTAATTTTACTACAGTTACTACTACCTCTAGACCACTGCTCTGACTGGGGTTTTGCGTCCTGTAGGTGGTTTCAGTAGGCCTTTTATTTCTTGTTAAGCATGGAAGCAACAAAACCAGGCCCTCCTGATGCGGTTGGCAGTATGCACTGTCAGGGTTTCTAGCATCCGCGTTGTTCCCAAGGTGGGTTGTTCCGGCAGTAACTGGAACTGGGCGATGGCCCGGGCCTGTGCCCAGTTCTTGGTCTGTCCCAGAACTCAGGAAGCTGCACTGTTCCCAGTGAGACAAGGATGAAGCAAAAAACCTGCAGTAAATACTGGCGGAACACCCAAGGGTTTAACCCACCCCTGAGGGTCTCTGTGGGGGGTGGTCCGTGGGCATCTTCACCTGCCAGGGGAATCAGCATGTTGGCTGTGGTGGACCCACAAAACACGGCCAGAAGGCCCTTCGTCATCATGCGCAGTACAGTTACCTGCCAAAGGCAGGCCTGGAACCCAGGTGATGTTGATGGGGTTATATCAGGCCTCTGCTACCCGGGATGGAAGTACAGAGCAGACCTCACAGTTTTGGCCATAGTCCTCTGGAGAATGTCCCTGAAGGAGGAAGAAGGGAGGGAGGTTGGCACATCTGCTGCCTTCTACTCGCAAGTTCAGGGGTTTGGTGTGCAGAGTATGTGCTTCCTGCTCGTCCTGTCTTCACTCAGCTTCTGTCCCCTGCAGTGAGCGATCAGCAGATGCCCTAAAATCAGAGAGAGGAGGTGTGTGGCCTGTCCTGTGTGCTGAGCGGTGCTGATGGCAACTTTGTTTGTAATCCCTAGGTCCCGAAGATGGCATAGTAATACAGGCACCTTCTGATGATCGGGAGCGTCTTTACCCGTGGGTGCCTGCCCGGGCCAGTGGCATCGTGTTGAGCTGAAGGAACTTGTCTACTGCTTTCCTGAAAACCTCTTTTTCTCCTAATTCATGAGCCAGCAGGATGCGGTCGCTGCACTTTCTGAACGCCTTCTCATAGCTGCGTACAAAGGCCAAGCAGAGAATGTGGTTCAGCTCATCAACAAGGGCGCCAAGGTAGCAGTTACCAAGGTAACAAGAAAAAAAAAACTAACACTTTAACCATTCCCTGGGAAAAAGCCTACCTCTTAATAACCATTGTCTGTACAACTTTTGTGTTGGTTCGAAGCTTTCATGGAACTAGCTTTTTCTTTTTTCCAGTGGTGGCAGTTTGGGAAGCAGGAAGGAGGATTAAAATGCTTTCAATGCTA